GATGATGATGATGATGATGATGATGATGATGATGATGATGATGATGATGATGACGATGACGATGACGATGATGATGGTGCCGGTGATGCTCATGATGGGGATGCTGATGATGGGGAGAGGGAGGGGGGGCAGCGGAAGGACGCGGGCGCTGTCTGTTCAAAGCGAGGACCCAACACCACAGGATGGCTGGGAACAAAAACGAGCGAGGAGGGGGGGGGGCGAAGGAGGATTGGAACCCGCGGCCCCTGCCGCAGAGCCCCACCGCGGCCCGGCCCCCAGGCGCGCGCCGTCGCCTGCTGCTCGCGGCCGCTGGCTCGGGCCTGGCCGCCGCCTGCTTGGCCACGCGGCCCACGGAGGCGGAGGGCGGCCATGGGCTCGCCGCGTGCGCGAGCGGTGGCGCCGGCGCCCCGCCGCCGCCGCTGCTGACGACGACGACGGAGGCGAAGTTGGCTTCGACGACGACGACGACGACCGCGACGACGACGACGACGACGACGACGACGACGACGACGACGACGACGACGACGACGACGACGACGACGACGACGACGACGACGACGACGGCGACGGCGGCGACGACGACGACGACGACGGCGGCAGCGCGTGCGCGAGCGGTGGCGCAGGCGCCCCCCCGCCGCCCCAATGAGCTCCTCGGGGCGCACGCGGCGCGTGGCCTCCCCGGGTGGGGCCCGAGTGCGCCCGGGCCGAGGCGTAGGATCAAAGGCGGGGGGCATGCCCTCCCCGGGTGGGCCCCTTCAGACATCCCAGACCCCCTCGCGTCGTGAAAAAATCACGACGGGAGGTTTTTCATTATTTTTGGCCTTTGGGGGCCCTTACCGGCCCTCGGGACCGTCAAAAAACGACTCAGGACGAAAAACCGGTCCCGGGGAATGGGTCGAGACCTCGGGGGGTCGACGTCATGAAAAATTCATGACGTCGGGGGTCTGGGATGCCCGACCTAACCCTGTAAGGAGTCGTTTCCCACCGCCGCGGGGGGGGCCGTCTTGGAACGACGAGGCCCCGGCGGGTCTGCCTCTCGGGCGAGGCCCGGGCTTCGGAGAGGACTCGCCCACCACAGACGAAACGACGTATGATGCAAGTGTCGGGGGCGGCAAAGAGGGGGGTGATGACTAGGCGGGGGTGGATATCATGGCGGGGGCCATGATATTTCCCCAGATTTTATGGCGCCTCTTCTTATTTCATTACGTCCCTGGCCCCCCCGCTGGGCCGCGCACATGCCGCCGGTCATGATTTGCACCCCCCCGGCTTGGACACCCCCCTCTTTGCCGCCCCCGAGTACGATCAAGGTGGGGTCGGGGATGGTTCCCTGGTGTTCTTCCCAGAGACCCAACGCATTGAAAAAATCAGGACGGAGGTTTTTCATATTTTTCGGCCTCGAGGGGCTCTCGCTGGGTCCCGGGACCGTCAAAAAACGACTCGGGATGAAAAACCGGTCCTGGGGAATGGGTCGAGATTTCCGGGGACCCCGTATGGAAAAAAACACGACGTCTGATCTCTGGGTCCCTGATGTTCTTCGCGTTTCTTGAAGGTTCTTGTGCATCCTGGGGGAGGGTACCCTCGAGTGTTCTGCAGTTTGGCCGGCGGAGAGCTTCATGTTCTTGAAGGGTGTTCTTCTGTCCTTGGTCCGGGCGGCGACTTGACCAGCAGCGCGCGTGTATCCTTGCGCTCGGCCGCCCCCCTGACGGGCAGCGGATTGAGCGATCTACGATTCTGGGGTTGTTTTCGCGAATGAAGAATGATGGGGTCGGAGGGTCGCGCCGAATCGCCGATGCATCGCCGATGCGGCTTGATGTGGAGCCTCGTCGACGTCGCAGATGTATCGCCGACGTGTCGCCGATGTATCGCCGATGCATCGGCGATGCGGCGCGATTCTCCGACCCCATCTGCTCGCTTCTCGGACCCCATCTAGGAGGCCTCTAATAACGGGGGACACCGCTACCTCAGGAGGGACAAAAAGACACAGACACAAACCATCGTCGATGCCTGGGACAACATGGAAAGCATGGGAGAAGTGGAGAGGGGAAGACGAACACCAGAAAATACATAGAACACGTTGAGGATCCTGGGAATTGTTCCCCAATCAGTGCTTGCACTTAAGGGGTCCTAGCGGAAATTGAAGATTTGGCGACAGTTTCCCGCCGATTTTGGTAGCCGGCTGGGTTCCCGGGTTCCCGGTCCGGGTTCCCGGGTTACTGGTCATTGGTTCCGGGCCGATTTCGGTGGGTTCCGGGTTCCCGGGTTCCCGAGTTCCCGGGTTCCTGGTCGATGGTTTGGGTTTTTCTTTGGTGTACCCTGAGATCCGACGTTGGAAAAAATTGCAACATCGCAAAAAATCACGCGCAGAGCCCCGGACCCCATCTTTCTGCGTCATGTTTTGAGTCGGATCGATCTGTGAGGGTCCCGGGGCCCGAAATTGAGCGAAGACGCCCGTTGTGAAAAAACTGCAACGCCAGGATCTCAGGTGCCGTTTTTAATACATGCTCCGCGTGCGGATCATGTATTAAAAATGCGGGGATTGAGTAGTATTAAAAACAACGGTGAGTTCATGCATACATTTATTCCTTAATTAATCATGTGTTAAAATCGTTTTTTTACAAAAGCCCTATGTATTAAAAGCTGCCCTGTAGTGTCTATCTGCTTGTGTGTCCCTGGGCCCCTTCGGTAGCGGGATTCCGTCCGTCCCCTCTGGCTGGCCCTGCCTGGGCGCCGCGCGGGGCCGGCGCCGCCGGCCCAGGCTCTCTGTCTGAGCCATACGGAGCGGCCGGCCCGGGTGTGCGACGTGGCCCTGGCGGACCCCGGTCTGCGCGGACCCGGGGTCCCAGAGATCTCGGGGGTGGACAGAACCCCCAACAGTGACACGTCGATAAGTGAATTGTTCGTTTTCGGTTCTTGAGATGGCGCCGTGGCCGGTATTTTCCAGGCTTGCGCCCGCTAGGTTTGGGCCTCAGGTCGTTTTCATTAAACCACGTTTTGCGAAAGTGGGGTCTGTCCATCCCCGAAGATCCAACGTATTCAAAAAATCAAGACGGACGTTTTTCGCAGTTTTCGGTCTCCAGGTGACCTCGCCGGGCCTCTGGAGCATCAAAAAACAGCTCGGAATGACAAGCCGGTCCTGGGGAATGGGTCGAGACTTCCGGGGGCCCCGTATTGAAAGCATCACGACATCGGATGCCAAGGGTGGTTCGAAGAAGGACGCATCGGGAGCCTTGAGACGGGGGTCAATGCAAACGGGTGTCGGCCAGGGCGCCAGATCTTACAGGATCCTGCAGGGCCAGGGTCGCATGGACCCGGGCTCGGGTGCAGTATCCTGCAGATCTTGCAGGGCCCTTCGCATCGACCCGGGTTTGGGTGCAGGATCTTGCAGTATTCTGAAAGGCCTGACTGACCCTGCTCTGGATTGACCCGGGTCAGAAGATGCCCGAAAACAGCAACCACGCTGCCCACTCTCCCTCCTCTCCCTCGTGGCTGGTGCTTGGCATGGTGGGGCACCCCTTCCCTCAGTGGGCAAGCTGGCAGGTCTCATCATCCGAGCAACGGTTGTAGGAAAAGGAAGAAGCTCGAATAAGAAAAACTGCATGTACATAAACTGTCGGGGCTCCGCGCGGATTTCTGAGATCTGCGCTGGGCCTCACTGGCGGCGCCCCTGGCGCGCTCCGCGCGCCAGGGAAGGGGGTCCAGCGCAGATCCAAGAAATCCACGCGGAGCGCCGAGAGTTTATGCTTATGCAGTTTTCTGTTGCTCTAGGCTAGTGCGTCCCCGATCTCCAACGATCGGACTTTTTCGATCGTGGCGTTTTGTGTTCCTTCGTTTCGGCCTCGGGGGCCCGCTTGGAGGGCTTCTCCAGATGGCTTAGGCGACCCGTCCTCCTCCTCCTCCTCCTCCTCCTCCTCCTCCTCCTCCTCCTCCTCTCCTCCTCCTCCTCCTCCCTCGTACAGCTGCTCCTCTTCTTCCTCCTCCTCCTCCTCCTCCTCCTCCTCCTCCTCCTCCTCCTCCTCTTTAGCCGTTTCCCTCCCGAACGTGGTTCAGGGGAGTTTCGGGCACGTACTTGGAAGCGGCTCGTGCCCGAGAGCCAATGTCCTGGTGAGGCCTCTCCGCGATGGGGCGGCGAAGGCGTGCGCCGAGCGCGTGGGCAGTGGTGCCGCTCTGTGGGGCGCAGCCGAGGCAGCCCCATGCGGGGGCGCGGCGCGGCGGGCTGAAGGAGCAGAAGCCGGCGGAGTGCGGGCGCGACGACGAGGAGGACATCATCGCCACCTTCCTAGCGGGGCTGCGGGCGTCTGGGGTGCCCACGTTCAGCATGTCCGAGCTGGACGGCGAAGCTGCGGCCTTCGACTTCGAGGCGTGCTTCGAGGTCGACGGCATGGGCGGCTCGCGCATGGACGAGCTGATGGCGCATGGACGAGCACGTCGCCGAGGAGGAGGCCGAGCTCACAGCGGTGGCCGAGGCTATCGCGCTGGAGGAGCTGTACGTGGCCGCGCCGCCGCACGAGACCGTGGGGGCCGCGGACGACGTGTGGGAGGCGAAGGCGTTGCCCAACGTCATCAGCTACAGCGCTGGTATCTGCGCGTGCGAGAAGGTAGAGCAGTGGCAGAGGGCGCTGGTTCTGCGGAGCGAGATGTGTGAGGCTAAGCTGAGTCACAACGTCATTGGCTGCAGAGCTGGGATCCGCGCGTGCGAAAAGAACGAGGAGTGGCAGCGGGCCCTGGCGCTGCTGAGCGGAATGCGGGAGGCGAAGCTGGAGCCCGACATCATCAGCTACAACGTCGGGGTCAGCGCATGCGTAACGGGCGAGCAGTGGCATCAGGTGCTGGCGCGTCTGAGCGAAGTGCGCGAGAAGGGCAAGCAGTGGCAGCGGGTTCTGTCGCTGCTGAGCGAGATGCAGAAGGCGAAGCATGAGCCCAACATCATCAGCTACAACGCTGAGATCAGCGCATGAGATAAGGGCGAGCAGCGGCAGCAGGCGCATGCACTCCTGAGCGAGATGTGGGGCGTGCGGGAGGCGAAGGCGTTGCCCAACGTCTGTAGCTACAACACTGAGACCAGCGCGTGCGATGTGCATTCGTGGCCGAGGAAGGGGTCCGACGGGACCGCGACGACCAGGTACATCGTGAAGTTCGGGAGCAACGACATCGCTCCGCTCACGGCCGACCGTGACCTGTGGCGGCCTGGATGGCAAGCCGGCGGTGAGGAGCTTGCCCCTCCTCTGCCCTCGGCCGCCGAGGTAGCGGAGGGCCGCCAGTGGCTGCGCTCCAGCTTCGGCCCCAATTCTCCCTGGGCCAGGTGGGCGAGCCGTGAGCGGCGGCGCCAGAGGTTCAAGGGCTGAATGGGCGGTAGCTATGAGTAGTTGCTGGACTCGGCTCGAAGCGCTGGCGTCTTTCTGGGGACGGCCTGGAGGCTGCCTTGTTCTGGGGGCGGCCTGGGGGCTGCTTCGTTTGGGCCGCGGGGTCTTGGGTGCGGCCCTGGGGGCTGCGTTCGGCGTGGGTCTCCGTCCCCGCGGGGGTGGTGGGGCCTTGGCCACGGTTCTCCCCTCCTGGGAGGTCCGTCGCTGCGGTGCACCTGTCTGGCGTGGCCCTCGGGCTCCTCGTCGCCACTCCCGCTTGCGAGCCGCAGCGTCGGCAGGTGGATTTTTGTCCGCCCAACCCCATACCATACCATACCATACCTCCTCCTCCTCTTCCTCCCTCCTCCTCCTCCTCCTTCTCCTCCTCTTCCTCTTCCTCCTCCTTCTCCTCCTCTTCCTCCCCCTCCTCCTCCAGCCGCCGCCGCGGCCCAGACACCCGCGAGCGGCCCATCCATACCCACAGTCATCACATCTATTTGACGTGTGGAGCGCAGGGCGCATCGACGGGAACGGGGCCGCTGAGGGCGGCGCCGCGAAAACTCACTCAGCAGTCCGCTACCGAACCCCCGCCGCGCTGATGTTTTTTTTCTCGTGTTTCCCCTTACATTGCTCGCTGCGCCTCATCCGCTTCTCCGCCGAGGAACGCAACACGAGGATAGTGTACCACAGTGTGCAGTGGGTGGACATCACCCGCCTCGAGGAGAATTCGATGGAGACGGCCAACGTTGACGACTACGTGGCCATCGGGGCGGGTAGGGCAGCGCGCGACACGGACTACATGAAATACCAGCTCCCGAACCACCAATGTATACAGTTCAGGTGGAGGAAGACGGCTGGCGTCATCAATCCAGGCGGACTGGCAGTATTACTGAATAAGGGGCCCAGTGGGAGGGTCCAGGGAGCGGTTGCACTGCCGACGACGAGCGGCATCAAAGGACGGAGTGGCATGCTCACAGTCAGCGTGAACACTATAGACGTGGCGTTGTTGCCCAGCTTCATACCACAGCAGGGCATGGCCGTCAACACCCACAAGGGCACCATTAGAACCAATTTCAAGTGGAACCAGAGCGAGCCAGTCAAGTTGGGTCACAACTGCATCCCCCTCATTGTTGTGCTGCCAGCGGAGTTCACGGATAAGTTAGATTCCGTGCTGGTCCGCACGCCCCTCTACTCGACGCATGGCAAGGACAAAAACGAGTACGAGGGCCGAGTCAGGACTATCACACATAGTGCAGTACTAGGCGACTAGAACTGCGCTTTTGGATTACGCCGAGACACAACAAGAAGGAAGTACACCGAGGCCACCGAGTCTATTGGTACTCAGGAGCCCGCTATAGAGAACACCACCAGCTCGCAGATGCGTGACTAAATGGATGACAACCACCTGACGATCGCTGACACCCTCAAGCGGACAGGGGCCACCTACTACAGAGGCGCCTACACAAGCAACATAGACTATGACGCAGTGCCCGCGATTGGTATGTGCAGGGTTCGCCAACCTTACCCCTCGCTCGGCTTGGCGCGACGATATCAGCTACACGACTCCGCGCACTTGACCGACCACGTGCCGACCTACACGAACCTGGACGTACATATCGTTAAGACCCACACCGGCAAGCTCACACCACATGCCAACTGCGACCTGACGATGATTGCTATCACACGGGGCTTCAAGCGCATAGACGAGAAGGAGTGGCGCCAAGCCTGGGACCAAGGCAAAGTTCAGAAGAGGTGGGACATACCTTCGAACAGTATTCGCGAAGCAATGCAGGAGAATTTCCTCAAGCAGGAAAATGACATCATCGGTTGCGACGAGATGCGACAGCAGCGACTACGCCAGCTCGAGGAGCGACCCTTACCCCGAGCGGCTGCGCACCACATCGGCAGCAAAAGCTTTATCGGAGACGGCTACGCTGCGCTCGGCCAGATAGACAGGCAGATCAAGGCCCTCTCACGGAGTCTACAGGTGCTTCGACGACGACTGAAGACGGGGAGGACAGAACAACTGGTGGACCAGATCGGCGCAGCCTGGAAACATCACCGTCATGCTGCGCTACACCGCCCTCGAGTCACACTGGCCAACATTGGGAGAGGACCGGAGAGGCAAAACATGCTCGCCTTGCGCACAGGGATGACAGTGTCACAATGGTATGACGGACTGAGCCGACCGCTACAGGTTGGAGGCACGCAGCGCGAGAACATCGAGTGGCAGGAATGGACAGCCGACCGCGCCTTCATGCCGCACATCTACGATTCCTTGCACGCAGACGACTTCCGAAATCAAATTCGCCAAGACCGTGCAGGCCAGAATCCATACCTACGCCGCGCCCCCAAACGACGTGCAGGACCAGCGCGAGGAGTGCTAGCGGAGGCAATATGCATGTGCATCGACAGGCGATATCACGTCAATGAGCACGATCTGAAGTACAACCCTGAGCACTATAGCAGACGTTATGATGATTTACTCGCGCTGATTCGCCTGGTAGGACCAGCCCCGCTGAGTGCCACATGGTCGCAGTCGTCTTCCCAGGCCAAGGGCAACGAGAAGCCCGGGGTGCAAGGGCAACGTATCCTACATTGTTTCGACGCGCCAAGAGAATATGGACGAACAGAGGCAACCCCCTTCAGACCCATGACCGTCCGCGCGAACGTGGATTCATGGTGCCGTGCAGCTTTTGCGAGCAGAGCAACATGTCTGCGCTGTAGGCTCAGGCGACCACAACGACGAAGAGACAGTGCCGATGCAGAAGTTGACAAGCAACGACGCGCAGATGATCAGGCAGCTGTAAGACAGCCAATGGGACTTCTTCATGATCCCAGGCGAGCACACAGCAGTGGCCGCCGCGGTAGCAGCGGACACAACCTATGCGGAGAAGGCCAAGGAGAAGAACAGCAAGGACCTGGGGCCACCGCGCCTCTACTTCGGCCTAGACTTCTACCTGTAGATGGGACTCAACGACAAGGCCGACGGACCCAACAAGAGGACCCCGACGGAGGCTTGCGTGTTGATCGACGTGCTGGGCATGCAGGGCCTTGGGGGCATCGCCTCGCATTCCAAAGTCAAGAAGGCCTACAGCGAAGCGGGGCAGCCATGGAAATTGGAGCTCTACCTAAAGCTCAGCAGCCTTGCGTGCAGCCAGTGAACAGTATCATGAGAGGACCAGACCAACGCCATTCGCGAAACAAGCCAGGAGCCGCTCGTCAAGATCAGCCGCACCGCGCAGATTGGGGACCTCAGGGAAGCCCCCGCGGACACACCCCGAGCAGAAGAGGCAGAACAGATATTCGGAGCATTGCCGCCATCAGGTCTCGTGAGGAAAGTACAGGCAGCACTGCGCGTACGTCAACTGGCGATGGAGGGGTGGAGATGACAGAACTTAGAGAGCCCGCCAGGGCTGGCAGTGGCAGGGCGATGGACCTGCTGCGACGCATCACCCACCCGTGATGGCTCCTCGTGATTTCGTTCACGCGAAGTCGTTAAACACTTGTCTAAGGGTTCTCGGCGCCAAAAGGTGCCTCTCTTTTTTTCCGTTCCTGGTTCCCGCGGCGTCCGCCTGTTTCGGGTGGTTCCCTCGTGGGCCTTTGGGCCCGTCGCGTCACGGGACCTGGACTTCGGGGCCAGACAGGTGCACGACGACGGAGCGCGCAGCAGCAGCTTTAGATAGTGGAACTTGGGGGGAGGGGGGGGAGTTGGGGGAGCGGGGGAGGTGGCGGGAAGACTGCTACATTGGGACACGTCCCGGGTCAAGGGCGATTGGCCCGACGGCCCTAAGCCCCTGCCGTTTCCATAACAATTTTGCTTGTTTTCGGGAAGGCCCCGCGCTGAAGCGGGCCGAGAATCTAAACAGCCAAGGGTCCCGTAGGCGACCCGTCGATCCGCCGATCTGACGTGCCAGCAGCAACAGGTTCACATGTAGTCGAACCCCAGACAGCTGCCAAGGCTTCCTCCTCCTCCTCCTCCTCCTCCTCTTCCTTCTCCTCCTCCTCCTCCTCCTCCTCCTCCTCTCCTCCTACCTCCTCCTCCTCCTCCTCCTCCTCCTCCTCCTCCTCCCCTCCTCCTCCTCTTCCTCCGTCCCTCCTCCTCCTCCTCCTCCCTCCTCCCTCCCTCCCCCTCCCTCCTCCTCTTCTTCCTCCTCCTCCTCCTCCTCGTCCTCCTCCTCCTCCTCATCCTCCTCCTCCTCCCCCTCCTCCTCCTCGGGTCGCCCCGGGGGAAAACGCGCAGGCCCGCTGTGGGGCCCCCGGGCCATCGGAGACGAACGCGGGACAAACAGTTGCCCCTGGGGTAGGGGTCCGAGGCCCGAGGGGCGCGGATTGAAACAAAACCATGCCGTCGGATGTCTCCTCCTGCTCGCTTGTCCTCCTCCTCCTCCTCCTCCTCCTCCTCCTCCTCCTCTCTCTCCGGCCTCCCTCTCCTCCTCTCTCCTTCGCCTTTTCTCCTCCCCCTCCTCCTCCTCCTCCTCCTTCCTCCTCTCCTCCTCCTCGTCCTCCTCCCCCCCTTCCCCCCCCACCTCCGCCTCCTCCTCCCCCTCCTCCTCCTGCTCCTCCTCCACAACTCAATATGAATACCACTCTCCTCACTCCCCTGGTGGCGTCCGGAAAATGTTCGGTCCCCTCCGTTTACTTTTTCTTTCACGCGGGATTCCCAGGAGTTGGGTTCTCGCTTGTTTTTTCAACATGCTGGTTTCGCTGAAGCGCTGGCTTCATTTTCGGGCTACCGCTCGTTCCGGATCATGCTCCCGCTGCAGCGCTGGCCTCATTTCCGCGTTTCCGCTCGTTCCGAGTCGTGCTCCCGCTGCAGCGCTGGCGACATGATTTCCAACGCCATGCTACGGCATTGTTTTCGGTCCTTCCAAATGGCCCCAAAATCTAGAAAATTTTCTCCCGAGAAAAAACCATCGGAAGTGATTACTCAATCGGTGTCGCTTCGTTGATTGGGGCAGCTAAAGACCCCCACTTTGGGGCGTCGCCACGCCATGCTATGT